GCACAAGCCCCACTCCAGAAAGTAAGTGGCTCCCCAGGATTCAAGCCAGGCCTTCTTGCCATGGCCCCTGGGCACATGGCTTCATGCCACATCTTCACTGGTGAGCGGGAACTCACACCACCGCCGCAGTCACTGGGTAGGAGTTCCAGCAATGCCTGTATCACTCAGTAGTGGGGAGCTCAGGCAGTACCTCCTCACAGTAACTAAGCACTGAGGGCCAGGGATTTAGCTCAGTGGTACCATACCACGCCTGCCTTGCATGAAGGTGCAAGGTCCTGAGTTCGATCTCTGATACCAGAAAAGAAACAAACAAACAAAACACAACTAAGGACTGAAAGGCAGGACTCGCCCAGCTGTGTGCTCTGCGGTGACCTGCTGGGGCTGCCACGAGTCTTCTCACCATGATGTCCCTGCTCATTCCTCCGGGGCGGTTCCTCCTTGTCCCCTATCTTCCAGGCCTCTACTCTGCCTCTAGCTCAGCCACTTTTCCCCTCCTGTGCTCCCGGGTCCACAGGGAAGTCCTGGACCTCAGTGGCCTGCACATCTGGGTCAGTTGTAGGGTGCCCAGAGGTGACAGGTGACACTCACATCCACCCCAGAGAGCCATGTGACACTCACCAGCTGGCAGGGAGGGGGAACTGAGGGCTCTATTATCATGGCAGTATCGGAGCAGAGCAAGAAGAGTCACCAGGAGGAGGGGGAGCAGGAACAGTGTCCCTGCAGAGGGAACAGCATTTATAAGGGCCTGGAAGTGAGAACATTTTGGGGGACACTCAGGCCAGGTGCAAGCGATGCATGGGGATGGAATGAGGGCATCCTGGGCCCCCCACCACTGGAGGGTTGTCAGGGGCAGCAGGGGCTGAGCCTGACAGTGTGCAGGGCTCCACGCGATGACAGTCCCTGACCCACTATGGCGGGGGTGGCAGATGCAGTTGAGCAATAATCAGGTGGGATTTCTGGAGATGGGGACATGGAGGTTGACCTTGACCGTCAATAAGAACTGACTTTAAAGACAGCCGTGTCAGCTGGAGAGGAGGAGCAGGAGGTGCCTTGCACATGCAGCAGAGTGACAAATCCCTACAGAGCACACACCATGACGTACAGGGCATTTGTGGCATCCATATGACCATCCTTCCCATCTGGCCCATGAAGGAACCAAGGCCCAGAAAGGTAGGGTCACCTGCCCAAGCTCCGATGGGCTCCACAGTCAGTGCATTACCCACCATGCTGCCTGGGGAGTTCTCTGGCTGCCTTGCCTGCTGAAGGGTTTGTGTATGGATCCCAGCATGGCTGACTGCACAAATATCTAACATTCAGCAAGGAGGCCAAGGCCAGCAGTGATGTGCCCCAGTGTCCCAGTGTGACTCAGGGGCAGGATAACAAAATGATCTCATGCCCTGTTCTCTCCCTGGAGGGTTATTGTGGTTTTTCGAGTGGTTACACACATTAATACTGTGGTTTTGCTAATGGGGGAGTTCTGGGTGGAGGGTCGTAGTTAGGCCATCACATCTCTTCTGGAAACAAATGCCCCAGCCTGCTTCCCAAAGGGGAGACTTCTTAGGTCTTAGGGGGTGTCTCACCACCTGGCTATAATTTTGGTGAGGCTGGAAAGTGGAATTACATGTTGTCATGGAGACGGATTTGGCTATAGCAGTGGAGAGGGGGCCTGAGTGGGAGGCTAGATGGGGGAGCAGACCACCGCCTGGTGATGGGACCCAGCACAGGGAAAGTGTACCCCTTTTAATTTACAGAATCAGAGAGGGTGAGGGACTTGGCAAGGTCACACAGCAGGCTGGAAACCAATCGAGCATTCTGAGTCCTTCATCAGCTCTCTTCCCACAGCAGCTCTTGGCCTATTGGGAAGCCGGAAGATCAGCGAGTTACTGTCCCAAAGCCCCTACTTTGGGGGTGGCCAGGCCTGCAATGGGATCCCAGCTCTGCCCCTCTCCTGTGTGTCTCTGAGCTGGTGACTCCATCTCTCTGTGCCTGTGTCCCATGTGCCAATGAGTGGCATGAACTAAGCACTCAGAAATGTACCAGCAGTCCTATGTTCCCGGGCTTTGGACCGAATAACTAACTGTCCTCCAGCAAGTCACTGTCCTTCCCTTGCTAGGTCTCAGTTTACCCATAAAAGGACTCAGCTAGGTAATATCTAAGGACCACTTCCGGTCTGCTGGCCTATGAGTCTATGACTGCTGCTTCCAGTCTTCTCCCTTTAAATTCACCCTGCATAGCTGGCCAGGCTCAGATGTCTTAAACCATGCTTTACCCTTCAGCTCCAGAACAGTCAGTGGCTCCCCAGTACCCCTCAAGTTCAAGTCTCAATTGCCTAAGGTGGCAGGTGAGCCATCCACGCTCAGACCCTCACCCAACGGACTCTCCCAGACTGTGGCGTCTCTCTCTAGCCCTCCTTGTGTCATACTCAGCAGGTGCTCAATAAACATTTGTTGAGTGAATGAACACAGGAATGAAATAGTTCTCTAAATTAGGCTACTCAAACTTTAGTCATTTGTAAGCCAGCCACAAGGGTTTTGCAAAAATCTGTGCACCATGTCTATTTTTATTTACTTAAATATTTTCCTTTTTTAGATTAAATAAGTGTATCTCAAAAGGAATCTTTACATCACACTGTAACTAGAAGACCAGTATCACTTGCTAGAAATAGGCCTCTGTGAAAATAAACACAAGGACAAACAGCAATGTACTCGAGGTGCGCTCAATGTTACTGCGTGCCGAGGCCAGAGGCCTAGCCTGGCCTGCTCACCTTACCGAGGGATTAGTCAGTGCCCAGGGAGGTTTTGAGTCCCTGCTAACCTGAGACGCGCCCATTGATGGAGTCACAAGGACAGTTCTAGGAGAGGTGGTCGAGCTGTCCAGCCATGAGTGCGGCTCTGCACGGGGCACGCCGACGTGCTCAGGAAGATTTTCACCCGTTTCATGGCAGGCCCTGGAGACCCTGCAGGCATACACTTCAACCTCATAGCACAGTGTTCTGTAGCGAAAGCCCACTGCCCAGGAGACGGTGCTCAGAACAACACCGTGCCCACCCACCTCCCTGGTGGGGCAAGGACGAGATAGGAAATATTTATCCAGGAAATACAAAAGAAGAAAAAGGAATAGGAAAGGCTGTTATTATTCTTTTGTACAAGTATTTCTTCATATTTACAATCGAACACTGGATTTGTAAGGACCATTTCGGTTTTAAGCTGAACTCAAACTTGCGAAAATGAGGAAAAGGGAACATATGATTTCAATAAGTAAACTGCCTTCAGGTGTGACTGGATCCAGGGCCTCCAGCAATATTCACCAGGACTTCAGCTTTCCTCCTCTGGGTTCTGCCCTCTGCCTCATTTTCAGGAGGGTGGTGGAGGTGTGGCAGAGGCAGCTGTTTCTTCACAGGTGTGGCAGCTCCAGGCTCAGGGACCCTGGTGGAGATCCAGAGTTTTGGTATAGTCCCATAACCCAGCATCTCCCACCTGTCCCACACTGAGGTCAGGGCAATGAACTGTGACTGGCTAAGCTCAGGGTCTCCTGTCCACTTCTGGGGGAAGTAAACACAAACTCCTTTCCTGCCGCCCTCGTGTCCCTGATCTGAGTGGGGCCCCATCTCCATCTACACAGCCCCAGTCATCCTCTGCCCTCCACTCAGGCTCCGTGGTGCTTCCTTGGGGAGCCTTCCTGGCACTCCCAGCTGGACCGGGACCCCGTGTGCTCTGTGTCTTGGCAGAGCTTGTGGCCCTAGCTCTAGTGGCTGCTGGTGTCTCTCACACTGGACCTCACTACCCCGAGCTCTGTGCCTGGTCTTGCCTACCATATGTGCCATGACTGCATCTTGGGTGTCCCCTGAGGCCGTGTGTTGAGGGCTGGTCCCCAAGGTATTGGTACTGTTAAGAGGTGGAGGAAGCCTTAGGAGGTAAGGCCGGGGTGTGGGGGTCATTGGGATATGCAGTGGAAGGGGACAGTGGTATTCACCCTTCCCCTCTCTCCTTGTTTCCTGGCTACCATGAGATGAGCTGTTTGCTCTGCCATGACTGCTGTCTTGCCACAGGTCCAAAGCAATGGGAACAAACATCCATGCACTAGAATCTCTGCAACCAAGAGCCAAACAAACCTTTCCTCCTTTTAACTTGATTACCTCAGGTATTTTGTTACAGTGACAGAAAGCTGATTGACAGTGTCCCTGAGCCTGTAACAGTGGCTGGCACACAGAAGTTCAGCAATTATTTATTAGAAGTATGGATGGAGGTCAAAACCTGGTAACCAGTATATGGGGGACATGGTCAAGGAGGACCCCAGGGTTCCATGCTCATGGGCAAGAGGCTCAAGTCAGGGTGACCTCAGGAGCACTGGGTGAGACCTCCAGGAGGGCTGAAGGGAGAGGGGACCAGTCAGCGGTGGGACAGCCAGGGGAGTCAGCCAGAGTGGGGAGGAAGAGGCCGATCTACCCTGGGACCCCAGGGAGGAGGAGCCATACCCCATTCCCAGGAGTCTGTGTGGAAGGTGCAAGGTCAGGATTTGGCCAGCGGGAGGGAGCGCGTCCCCGCTGGAGGACAGTGTCTAGAGGACTGCCCCTCAGACCTCAGAAACAGGAGGGGGCTCTCTGCACCCTGGGAAGCCTCCCAGGTTAGTCATGTTTAACACCTGTCCCCCACAGCCAGGCACAGCCCCTGGGCCCCAGGACCAAGTCCTGCGAGGACAGCCCTTCTGGCCCCTCCTTGGCCCGACATCAGCTCCAGGGGGCGTCAGTGTCCCCAGGGGCAGAAGGTGGGCAGAGAGGGGCCACCGCCCATCCTACCCCCAGCCACACATGGTCACCCATGGAGAGGGAGGAGGGTGAGTCTATGGAGGTAGGGACAGAAGGACAGAGGCAGACTGGCGGACAGGCTGACCGTGGCCTGGACTGAGAGGGAGGGAGGGAGGGAGAGAAAGGAGAGCAGCAAGAGGAGAGGGGGCGGGGCAGGGGAGCGAGCGATACCCCGCCCACCGGGCGTGTCCCTGGCCCGGCCCCTCCCCCTGCCGCCTGGAGGACTCCGCGCAGCGCGGAGCAGGAGCTGCGCCGAGCCCAGCGAGGAAAGAGCGCCGCGCAGCCCCGCCGCAGGTAGGAGCGGGCGGGACCCTCGCGGCCGTGGGGCCCAGGTGCCGCCACCCGTACCCCTGCCCCTGCCTGGGACGCGCGGTCAGGGGTTCAGCCCCGCACCCTGCCCGCCCTGCGCCGGGACCTAGCTGTCTGAGCCCCGCGTGTTCCCAGGGATGGGGGCCAGGGCGCAGAAGCCGCGCTGCGTTTTGAGTCCACGCGGCCCCCAATCCTGGGGCCTCTGGCAGGGCAGGGTCCCCTGGGGAAGGTCACCTCCTCCCATCCCGGACACCCTAGATCCCGGGACATGCGCCCAGGTCCCCTGCCTTACAGGGTTCCCCGGGGGCGGAGGCCGAGTGTCCTAGCTGCTTTAGAGACCACTGTCCCCTACCGTCCCAGATTCTACTCCCTGGCGAAGCGAAAAGGGGCAGCACCGCCGGCCATAACCCTCAGGTCTACCTACGAGGCGGTGCCCTGTACCCACGTCCCTCAGAGTGGCACCCACAGATGTCCTGTTCTACGCTTGGCTTGGTTTTCCAACGAGGAACTCAGACTGGGCAGCTCCGCACTTAAGCTCCGAGCTGATATCCCTCAAAATAATCGTGAACCCCAAGGAGAAAATTGGATTTTTAAAAAATCTAAACCCTCTAAAAATCTAAACCCTGCCCTCGAAGTGGGGATTAAATGGCTCCTGAGCTTTGTGACACCCCCCCAAAATCCGCCTATGTTAGTCTGAGTAGAGTTTGGGATCAACCTTGGTTTTCTGTGACATGCAAGGTGGGTGGGCATTGGGCAGGAGAGGGGTGTGGGTGCTGGGTGTCACCTGAATTCTCTGTCCTGGAGAACTTCGGGGGAGCTGCAGTCCAGAGGGGCCTGAAAAGTCAACGCCAACTCCCACATTCCAAAACAAAGATCAGAAGGGAGCAAAGTGCCCGGTGCCCTCCAGCCCGCCCTCCACCAGGGCTGTGACAGCCCTATCAGGTCCTGGCCCGAGCATCCTCGGTCCCCCGCTCAGGCTGAGGAGGAGAAAGACAGGTTCCCTTAGAGGTGTGTGTCCCTGCGGTAGTGGGAGGGACCTTTCCCAAAAGCAGCCGGGGCAAAATGGCTGAGCCCTGGAGCCTCAGGAAGAAATTGTCAGGCTGGCGGCAGACAAAGAAAGCACTCTGTCTCCAGCCAAGTGGTAACTCGGTGGCCGGTCCTCAGAGGACAAACTGTAAGTCCCAGGCGGGCATGACACACAGCCTGGCCTGTGTAGCAGGGCATCTGGATAGCAGGGTTCTCCGTTCTCCAGGAGGCAGTTGCTGCTGGGCGAGAGGAGACAGGACGGTCTTGCTACCTGGGCTCTGGGCAAAAGGAGAAGTGGGTCCCCAGGGACTTGGATGGGGCTGGGAGGGGCGCCTAGAGGCCAAGCTGTGGGCCACTTAGGGCGTGCACCGGTCAAAATCAAGTTCCTTAAAGCCGAGAGATGCTAATAGCTCCTCCTCTGCTCGCTGGATCTTACATATCTGGGAACTCAGGAGCTAAGCAGCAGAGGCTGTGGATGTTTATGCATGACCCAGCACACAGCAGAAACTCAACGAATGTCTTAGAATCCAGCCTGCTGTAGTGGAATGAGATGGCAGGGGACCCACCTTCGGTGTTTACCTTGATGGTTACCTTGAGCCAGGAAGGCTGTCGAATGTACCCTCTCAGGCCATGGCCGGGAACAAATGAGCTGTGGGAGAGGGTTTGCTTTGAGCTGGGGCACTGCCGTTTCCTGGCCCGAGTGACCTTGGCTGAGTTCCAGTCTTCATTTTAGAAGGAAGGAGTGAAGTACTGAACCCTTCCAGTGTACCAAGCTTAATTGCCTACATCACCTTCATGCACGGGTACTCTCTCAGTCCCCACTTCAGAGGTGAAGAAACCATGGGACAGAGGGGACAGTGACTTGCCCAAGGTCACACAGCAGGAAGAGGTAAGGAGGATTGGTGTGGGTATCACTAAATTCCCAGGGCTGGCCTTGAACCGTGATCCTCCTACCTCCGCCTCCTGGGACTACAGATGTGCTCCATGGCACCCAGCTAAGCCCTGGTCTTTGGATTTCCAAGCCATCTTTGCCTCAGTTTTCACACCCGAAAAGTGAGACAGTGGGGATTGGTTCCTGAGACCAGTTTAGTGACTGTCGGCGCATCTCTTCAGGCTACCATGTGAGCAGTGGCTGCTCTTCCTCCCCGGCATGTGAGGTGTGAGGAGTAACGTTAAGCAGCGCACAAATGTCAGGCGGCTTCTTGCCATCACAGACAGACGCCGTTCCCAGGCTTGGCTGTGAGCTCAGCAGCTGAGGCAGATGTCCCAGGCCACTGAATTCAGAGACGTTTTCTCCTCCCTGTCCTGCTTGCAGATGGGTCACAGGGGGAGTGTCACCCCCAGAAAGCCAGTCTTGCCCAGCACCTGCAGCCCCTTTGTCCTCGGGTTAGGTGGGATGTCCAGGCCAGTGTGCCTGGCTTCCTTCATCCCAAGCCACATTAGCCTCATGCCTCCTCCCTCAGCCACAGCCCTGTGCCGGCCCCAGCAAGAGAATCTGCATTGCCTTGTGCCCATGGGGAAGGTGGCAGGCCTGGCTCAGCCTGAATCACAGCTGGCTCTTCAATTCACCCATTCCCTGTTGCCCGAGCTCCTCTGTGCCCGGAGATCAGTGGCAAGAGGCAGCCCCCTCCCGGGAGGGTAGGAAACAACCCTGAGGACTCCAGTTGCAAAGAGCAGCCCCTCCCCTACCCGATGAGATCACGTGTCCTCTGCTGGGCGGTGTGGGCATGGCATAGGTGGTCCTTCGCACCAGCTTTGCCCCATTTTCTGAAGGTCACTGAGAGATGGAGAGAAAGAGGATAGCATTGAGAGGGATGAGGCTGGGAGGCCAGATGTGAACCCCAAAATAGGACTTCCCAGGAAATGCGTCTCCGTCCATGAGCTGGAGGGACACCAGCAGCTGCATCTATTCTATGCCCCCCAAAACCCTCTGGAGCTGTGGAAAGGCAATGCAGAGTCACAGGGAGCTGGTTAGTAACAAAGATAAGAGTTTCCTGGCATAGGCAGTAGGTGTAAACACAAGCTGTGATATTTCAGCATAGGGCTAAAATTCAGACATAAACAGGAAAACATGCCTGCTAAATATTGTTCCAATGGTTGTATTATCGATGTAAGCAGTAACTATCGGTTATAGCAAGTTGACACTCTACGAGTGTATGCCATGTGTTAGGCTTAGAATACTGCACTTAATTTTCACCTGGGAGGAGCAGTAGAACTATCTGAGAGGACGGGCACTGGGGCACTTGCTGCTGGATCACAGGCAGGGATAGTACCTGGCTCTCAAGCCCGAAGTCAGCCACAGACCCCTGTGCTCGGCTCCCTGCTGTGGCTCACCGGGTGCTGACTGTAACTCCCCACTCTAAGGAACTGCACAGTTCGTGAGCATCTCGCCCTGGGCTTGATCCACAGAGTTCTCCCAGCTCTGGAAGGCTGAGTATCAAGGGAGCCACTGTTGAGGGAAAGCTGAGGCTCGAAGAGAAGAACTTGTGCCCAAATCCCTCAGCTGCCGAGTCACAGAGCTGAGGGTCAAGCTGAGGTGTCCTGCCTGTTGCCACACATTTGTGACTCAGACTTAAAATTCACCTAAAGCTGGTATTGATGGCGTGTACCCAGCCACCTTTCCCTAACTCTCCCGTCTCCCAATCCAACCCCTGCACCTCACTGCTTGGGAAGCCATGGAAAGTGGCTGACAAAGCCATCAGCTCCGTTTACCGTGATCTGACATGACATGAGAAGTGGCATCCAACTCGATGGGAGCCGCCTGCGGCGAATGGGCTTCTATTTTTACATTTCTCACAAATTGGAAATTACAGGGAGTCCAGGTCTTGCAGCATGATTGGCTGTGGCACTCTGCAGAGGGTGCACAGCCAGGGGGAACGGACCATGTTAGGATGCGGGGGCCCTTGGCTGTGAAAGGGGCCCCAGCTCTGGGGCCGAGTGGGACCCAGGCTCTCCAGCCAGGCTCAGGGAGGCAGGAGCTAGTGGCTGCCTTGGCCAGGAGCTGCAGCTCTGCCCACCTGTCGGCTGCCTGGTGCCTGCAAGATCAGTGTCTCCTGCCAGCTCTTGAGATAACTGTGCTCTGGCCAGAGGGACATTCAAGGTCAAAGATGCCCTGAAAGACGTTGACAGCAGGTCGCTTTCATGGCCTTATTGTTTGGCAGGGAGGCTCTGTACAGAGAGAGGGCAGCAGCCACAGGGAGGTGAGCGAAGACATTTGCTATCGGTATTGCACTTTGCTGCATCGTGTGGAACATGCCACTCTCGGTTATCAGAAGAGCAATTTACAATGAGGACTTTACTTTCTCTTAAGCCCAAATTCAAATGACCTTGACCCAAATGAGGTCGATTGCACACATGTGAGTATACATGTGCATAATACTTAAGTAGAATTTCACAGTTGTTGTTTTTTGGGTTTTTTGGTACCGGGGATCGAACTCGGGACCTTGCGGGCACTGGAACCACTGAGCTAAATCCCAGGCTGAATGTCACAGTTTTCAAAGCATTTTCTCAGTGGAAGTTTGCATCAGCTCTGGGAGTTCAGGGTGAAAGCAGTGTTACTGTTATTACTACCATTCTTATCGCCATCGTTTGGATGGAGAAACTGGGGGTCCGAGGGCCCTGGGCCCTCAACTCTGTCTGCTGTTTTCTCAAGTGGTGGAGTCACCTTTACTAAGCCCAAATCATCAGGTTAGCCAGGTAGCCAGATGGGGAAGAGCCCAGGTGAAGGAGGCGGAGCACAGCACACGGATTGAGGCTTTGAGGGTGTGCGAAGCACAGTGAAGTTTTCAAGAAGAGGGTCCTCATCTTGGTTGAGCCTCTTCTAATCTCTGGCTGGGGACTGGGGTTTCAGAGTATGATGGGCCAGGTGTGGGAGAAGAGGAGGGCTGATTGCTCTCAGGAGCATCTGCACACAGGCGTTCGTGTCTGCGTGTTTGGGTGGAAATGAACCCCAGGCCCCA